TCTGTGTAACGCTGGCAAACCAGGTGCTGGAAGCCAGTCTGTTTCACTTGCATGTTAGTATGCTTAAAATGGGGTATTGATCTCATAACAATGTGAAATGCTTGTAAATTACTGCATAAAATAATCTCACATATCTATCACACACTGTAAGGCAATATTTAAGTTTTTGCTTTATAACTGAAAAAAAATGTTTGCCCTGAAACTGTCAGCGGGGATCTTCTCCTGCTCATCAAGGCGGCTATCAAAACTAAATGGGCCATTATGAGACATCACAATGCAAATGCTTTGTCAATTGCCCCTTCATACCCACAAAGAGGTTACATGCAAGAGGGCTCTTCCCATCAGCTTGAACTCTGGCAGAAAGAAATAAAGAGAGGGAACAAGAGAATTTTCATCTCTGGCTGTTTGGATTCTCACAGGGTTGGAGCTATGAAACAGAAGCAGAGAACCCCAGGGCCAACCTTGGTTATCCCTAAAAGGCATACAGTGCTGAGAGATTACTACAACAGTCACCTTTTAAAACCATAGACTGTAAAATCAGTGTATATGTTTGCTTGCTTTAATCTTGTAATAACTCATTTCTTTTCTTAATTAATCCTTAGTCAGTTTGCTACAGGATTGGCTACAAGCATTGTCTTTGGGGTGAGATCTGAGATACAAATTGACATAGGGTAAGTGACTGGTCTCTTGGAACTGGAAGCAACCTTCATCTTTTGTGATCTTTGGTGAATAGCAACCAGCTATCACGAAGTCCAGCTTTCAGAGTAGCAGCCGTGTTAGTCTGTATCCGCAAAAAGAACAGGATTTAGAGTAGCATCCGTGTTAGTCTGTATCCGCAAAAAGAACAGGAGTACTTGTGGCACCTTAGAGACTATCAAATTTATTAGAGCATAAGCTTTCGTGGACTACAGCCCACTTCTTCGGATGCATATCTTTTTATTTTCATATCTTTTATATTTTTAAAAAGAACAGGAGTACTTGTGGCACCTTAGAAACTAACAAAGTCCAGCTTGTCTGGGTGGCAAGATAAACTGTAGTGCCCAAGGGGACTGTCTGAGACTCTCTGGTAACACTGTTATAGTGCTTCAGGAGTTCACACTTGTTATTGGGTTGGTGAAATCTAATTATAGAATACACCATCAGTTTCAGGTTCTCTGCCCTGCTTCTTGACAATCTGCCCTAAGCTTGGCGTGACACTCTTCACTTAGAAAGGAAGGAGAGGAGGAGGTCAAAAAAAGCAAAAAACCCACAATGCTTTGTGTTTACAACAGGAGGATAAAGACAGTTTATGAAAGGAAACTTACCAAAAAAAAAAAAAAAATCAAGACAGTAAGAATCCATTACTTATTCACAGAGGTTAACAAAATTTTATTTTGATACAAAAATTAAATAGCAAAGTTTTTTGTACAGTGATAAATTAGAAATTTACAGTACATACATCAATGCAGATATACTTTCTGTACATCTAAAAAATTATCAGTGTCCATTCCCTTCGACAAGTTAGTTTCTCTTTCTGAAGCTCTATCATAAGTAGTTTAGCTTGTACCTGTCTGTCAGACATTTCAGAAGCCTGTATGTCAGCACAAAACACCAACTGGGGATGGGACTGGCTTGAGAGAGAAAGGAGCAGAAGGGATTGTGCAGAAAAAGTAACTGTTGTAAAGTTTTGAGCTCTGTAGCCACAGCAACTGCACTTTCAAGGCAGGATTAGTCACACATTTTTTGGTTTTAAATTCATAACTATGTTGAAATGAGAGAAACTGAGTTGCAGATATTCAGTCTTCATAACTGCCGTGCTTCAGACTTGATCTAGTGGTTCCCAAACTTTAACAACCTGTCAACCCCTTTCACGAGACTTGACATTTTAGTGAACCCTCCTAAAAATGAATGTTTCCAGGGATTTTCTCCTTTACCTGAGTATAAATTATAAAAGCAGTGATCTTGGAAATACAAAATTTGTTTTTATGACATGCTTATTACACACTATTTATTATTAATTATTTATCATTACAGTATTTTTAGTACATTATGAAAATGGCAACACTCTTCCAAGGTCTCACTTTCGTAGCTTGTATCACTTAAGCCTGTTATAAGACAAGGCTCCTATGTTTCATCAAGGAGTATCAGATGTGAAACAACATAAAGGTATTTAAGAAGCCAACTCAAAGAGTTCCTCCTACACAAGCATTCGGGTCTTGAGCCGTCCGGGCAAACAACGCACGTTACAACAAAGCTTAAACTTGTTCTTCATAATAATTTTAAAAACAATACAAGCTGCCTATTTAATTTTAAAAACAGCAAAAAAATATCCACCTCCCTTTCCATTTCTTATAAGGAGTCTTGCAGTTTAAATCTCCGCAGTGTGATAGATAGGCTTGCTTTGATCTGTTTAGCTCTTGGAAGTCCAGGGGCTCCGGACTGCTGGATCCATGCTGCCCTGGGTTCCCAGGGACAGCTCTGTCCACCATTAGGGAATTTTTCCCCCCCAAGAACCCCCTGTAACATTTCACAACCCACCGGGGGTTCATGAACTCCAGTTTGGGAACCACTAATCTAGAGTGGCTTTTCCAATCACCAATGCCTGAACAAATAGAACAGCAAGGTAAATGCACATAGTTAAGTTGTGCCTTTTCAGAGGGGCTTCTGTGGCCCTGGGTCAGATGCTCTGCTTCATTACCTTGAGGTAAATCAGGAATAAATTCACTGAGCTCTGGTACATAACTGCAAGAGAATTTAGGCAGGCACAATGCCTCCAAGGGACAACTGCTGCTATGTGACTGCTATCCCCATAGTATTTGAGTGCCTCACAACTTTAATGGATTTATCATCCCCTCACCCTGCAATGCAAGGAAACATCATCCTCATCTGACTCACTTTCAGATGTCACTAATCACCAGTGCTACCATTCTAGTACAAGATCCACTGAGTCATGCTCTGAAATTCAATGATAACAGGAACAGTCACCCCCTTAACAATACATTCTGGGATGACAAGGATAAAAATGCATAGGTCAATCACATCAAATAGCATGAAGTTCAGTGTGTATGAATCACCTAGGGTCATTAACCCGTGACTTCACTGGACGGATGCCTGGATTAATTTGTCCCACTCACTTTCTCTCCTTCACCCCGCAGAATTTGAAAGTAGCATCTGATTTGGCATCCTTAATGCAATCGTAAATACATCAAGCACTGTGGTGAAGCCCAGCCATCCACACCTTTCATTCTTGCAGAACTCTGTTTCCAGACCAGAATATATAGATCCAACAGGCATTACTGTCCAATAGAAGAGACTTGATAGAGGAATGGATTTGGAACACTCAGCTAGTACATAATGGTGTGCTGTGGGTAGAATAAGTCAAGTTGTCACTTGCTGTGCTAGTGACTGATCCCAACTGCGCAGGCTGAGATGAGGTTGTTTTGTTTTTAAGCACATATTTCAGCACAGACACAATGCGTGTCTTTAACACAGTTTGAGAGATAGAGGGGGGACCCCTTTCAGGCCTGCCTCATCCTACAAAAGACCACAATACCCTCAGCTACCACTTAAGTCCACCGGAATTGAAGGCACTCAGCACCTCACTCGATCAGGCCTCCATACGCTGGAGATGAAGCAAGATTTTAGGGCACACAGGTGAAGCTACTGGTGGGTCCTTCAAGGGGAGCACTTAAATGCTGCTCTTTATGTTTATATTATACTTCCTGTTAATCAAGCAGGACTGTGGCATTCATAGTCTCATGCTCCCTATGAACGCGACAGGCCAAGGGCAAGGAACCTTGGCACTAACTATGAAACAATTACTCACCAAGAAGAAGTTGGATTTCTTCTCCATGGAGCCCTTTTCAAAAAGGAAAATGTCTCCATTGTTGCTGAAGTCTGATAACATTCTTACATAAAAAAAAAAAAATTGTAAGTCACTCTCAGTGACCATCAGTTTGAGCCAGTCAGCTGTACTGCTATGTCATGGCTGGAGAATGTTCTTTTATTTTTAATTGACACACACAATTATACAACTGATCTGTGTGAACATGAAGTTGCCAAGGAACTTAACATTTCACTTTTCCCAGACTGGCGTCTGCATAGATGTAATCACACAGAGTGAAATATATTAAGTCTTAATTGCTTAATGCAATAGGTCTCTGGGGAGAGCCAGATAAGTTTACTTGGAGAAAAACTACATGTTCTGCTGAATAAAGAGTTTGTCCAAAGTGAGCCTTCATTCACTTTCCCTCAGCTGTATATTGCAGTAGGAAGGAGAGCTATTAAAAGAAAAAACCTAAGTTATTAATGCAGAGGAATAAAGTAGTCAGAGGCTAGAAATAGCCAGGTTATCGAAAAAGGACAAAAGGGGGCAGGGAAAAGGGGGAGGGGGTGGAAGGGAGAAAATGGCAACTATATATGCTGTTATGCTTCAGACTCCAAGTTAATCTACTTCTGATAAAGGTACGGAGTGAAGCTTCTAAACACCTCAAATGAAGTACTGATGTTTTAGACAGCAAAGAGTGTGCCGATATAGAGGTTAGTATTAGGTTGTCAGCTGAGGTATACAGCAATCCATCCCAACACCTAACTGAATCCTACAAATTCACTGTTTGAGTTGTTTTCATACCTGGAAAACTTAGCTGGCATTTGCATGAGGACCTAATCCTTGGCTGAATTATGCACCACACAACACCGATGAAGGCAACAGGCTGTACCGGCTATGGGTCCAATCCTAAAAGGTCCTGACCACATCCCTTAAGACACTGAATTCAAAGGGACTGATGTTGTCAATTGAAGCTGAGAGCACCCAGCCCCTCACAGGATTGGACCCTAAATCAGCCCAGAACTTGACCCTCCTCCTCCATGCACCATAACATGATTCAGGAAAATCAGCAATGCAAGTAACAAGATGCAAGACCCTGTGGCTTCTAATGACATTAATACATTGCAACCTGCTTTACAAAAATGTGACAAGTTCAGATTTTTCACAGTGTTCCAAGCCGCCCTGGGCTTTCGTATTTTGGGCAGCCTGGTTTATGGTTATTCTGTTTTTTAAATTTCTGCTCATTCTTTAAGGCTTCTTTTCAGAGACAGATTTTGTACTTTACCTCCCCACACCTCCCCAGCAACATTTCTACTGCAAGTGTTTATACACAAGTCCTTCTTGGGAGAGAAGTCAGCACAGAGGTTTTGTTTACACCACAGTCTCATTCCCTTTCCCAGGTTTCACCCAACCATCCGCTCTCTTCTCTCGTTTCACTTTCCCTGAGTTCACCAGTCTGTTAGAGCACTTCTGCCACGTGTGCAGAGTCTTGGCCGACCAAATCCACATGCCAGATGTGATACCCACCAACAGAGACATGAAAATTTTAAGCATCTCCACTGCCATATTGGAATCATCCGCTGAATAGCGGAAGATAGCCCAGTTGGAGATTTCATAGAAGTAACATGCAATTACACATGTAGCTGGGACAGTGTATAGCACTGAAAAGACACCAATTTTGACCATCAGTCTTTCCAGCTTGTCAGTTTTAGTCCCATCTTTTTGAAGATTAGACCTGATTTTAAATAAGGCCACTAAGCCTGCTGCTATGAATAAAGTTCCAATAACCAAGTAGGTGAAAAGCGGAGCAACGACAAAGCCAGTGAGTGCATCTAGGTTCTGGTTGCCAACATAACACAGACCAGTGAGCTCATCTGCATCTACTAGTCTCATAATCAAGATGACTATGGTCTTCACTGCAGGGATAGCCCAGGCTGCAATATGGAAATAGGAGCTGTGCATTTCTATAGCCTCATGGCCCCATTTGAGTCCTGCTGCTAGAAACCATGTTAATGTCAGAATCACCCACCAGATGGAGCTAGCCATCCCAAAAAAATACATCAGTAAGAAAATTATAGCACATCCTGTGTTCTTAAGACCTTCTTGGATAAGAACAGGTTCTGCTGCCTCTTCAAAATCACAGGATATCCTTTCCCGGCCTACAGTCAGCCTCACGATATAAGCAATGCTATAAATATTGTAGCACATGCTCAGAAATATGATGGGGCGCTCAGGGTAGGAAAATCTGGATGAATCAATCAGGAAGGTCAGGACTGTGAAGGCTGTTGATATGAAGCACAGGCTAGCCCACACGGCCATCCAGATATCAGTGAATTCCTTAGCTGATCTGCTATAGAGACCAGCATCATAGCCACACTTAAGGACACAGCTCAGGCTTCTTTTTACCCAGATATACTGCTCTGAATTAGATCCCATTGTGTGACACTCTTCTCCTGGCTGCAAGGATGTCTTGCTGTGAAGGGGAACCTCTTCATCCCCCGGACCCTCCATACACATGTGATTGTGGTCATTCTGGGGTGGAAATTTACTGCAGTTTAGACTGTCTGGCCAGGCAAATCCAAATTCTTTCAGAACAGGTTCACATCTTCTTTTGACGGAAAGGCACATGCCACCGCAGGGACCTATTGGGATGTTAATCTTCTCTGTGCACATTGGAACATAGACTGAACAAAGGAAGAACTGGAAGAGAAAAACAATAATCAAATTTGTGCTGAAAAGAAGATAAAAATGGTAGACTATATAGCAAATTCCCTTTCTATCCTCTTTAACAGTACTGTTCAGTACTTTGCCTAAGTAAGCAAGGAGCAGCATGTAGTAAAGAAACCAAGGGAAAAAAATCCTAAAAACCTCAGCCCTTGTTCTCAGTTCAAAAAAGTGTTTTGAGGCCAAATCCTGATCACTTTACTCACTAGAATTAGCCTAATTGAAGTCAATGGGCCAGATTCACACAAGGTGAACAGAACTTAGCCCTAGATCTAAGCCCTCACATTTACAATTTAAGGGGGCAAAACACAAACTGAATAAGTACCGTAATTTAAACTTTAACAAATATATAGACCTTAGTTTTCGAGACTGCATAGAGATTTAAAACTTGAAACAAAACAGTTACAATATTAACAGCTCTTTGAATTAACAACATTCATGGTTGAATATGGTCTTTGTATAAATCATATTTTTTCTTATAATGAAGTTAGGATACTGTAATCTTCTCAGTACTTGACTCTTATAATTCTGGTACACACAAAGCAAATAGATGTGTGTAAAACTTAGCATTTAAAAAAAATGCCAAGCAATTATTAGTTTGGATACAACTATCTGAAGAAGTAAGTTTGTTATTCAGCAACATCTAAGTCATGCAACTCCTACAGTGAAGTTACTGGAGGGGTTCTCTTATCACAATTTTATGCTATGTCCCTTTGTTTTTTTATGACAAGTCACACACATTCACCTCCTCTGTCCATTATGTCTGGATGCACAAGGTTCACCAGCTCCTTACACATAACAACTGTGTCATCTATGGTTAGAAGTGAAGGGCTTTACGTGCAAGGATCTGAACTGGACAGTCACGTCCTTGAAGCTGTCTATCTGTTTAGTATATGTTGTACTTTCATGGTGTTCAAGGATAAATATTTTTCTTTAAGAAGTCAGTGAGAAAGTTCACATGCCTTGATCTGTAAAAGTCATTTTTTTAATATTAGGCTAAATGACATTTTTAAACCCATAAAGAGAGATCAGCCAATTTATTAACCCTGATTTAGAGTGTTCTCTTTAGTCTTCACACTAGTCCAAATTCCTGGGCTACCAAAGGGAACACAGACAACTAGAGCATGCCAAACGACAGAAAAGTTTGGCTTCTTCTCCTAGCTTCTGACTTTGTGTGGAGGTTACTCCAGAAAGAGGACTGGGAACGGGGCTCCTTGTGTATTTTACTTCAGTCTCTCAGCAACTGTAAACCCTGTGAGATTAAATGCTATTGTAACCTTATTGTACCTTCTTTTCTGTAGATTCACACCCAGAGGGGAAAGCTAATCTTGAGCCACTTTGCAGCTGGAAGTTTCCAAATGTATCTTTGTTTAACCCTTTTAATAGTTTCTTTTAAAACTTTTGTTTACACCAGCAGATATTTTCACGCTATTCTATCCTAGAAACTTGGTCTGAGAAATAACCTGAAACCCGCCCACGACTGTTCCCAAATCGGCAGCAGGCAGCAGAGAAACGAGGTTGAAGTAGATTTACAAAACAAAGGCAAGAAATGCAACAGATTGAAACTTGGGAGTCAGTGGGAAGTTCGCAGAACAAATGCAAGAAGTAAAACGGGAAGGATTCGGGATAGTCCCTGCTGCTGGAAGCGAAACTGCCTCTTTTCACCCTAGAAACCATTAGTTTTTAGCACCTTAGGACGAGATTAGGTTGGGAAATAAATTGGGGTGGGGGTGTCATTGGGGGGAATTTACAACATTTCGGGGGTGCAGCTGGCACCGTAACTGCAGCACTTTCCCTGCAATCTGCCCCTCTTTCCGGTCGGGTTTGCTCCACGGGAGGGATCCTCTGGCAGCTGCAGAGATCCTTGGCGCGAGCGCCGCTGCTGAATGTCACTTGTGCCGGGCTTGCCAAAGCGGGGGAACCGGGGGAGAGACACCGGCGCTCGGCGGCGGCTGGCACTGCCAGGAGCCCCCCGCACACCCTGACTCGCGGGCCTGGCGTTCGGGGAGGGGCACCCACCTGGAGCTGGCTGGAGCAGCCGTACTGGATGAGCGGGGTGAAGGTGGTGAGCTGCAGCTCCGCGTCCGCCTGCAGCTCGTGCCCCACCAGGTTGGGCATCTTGGTGACGTTGTAGCCCAGGTTCTGGCACATGGCGATGCGGATGGCATCGCAGCGCCGCTCCTCGTCCTCCCCGAAGCCGCGCGCCGCGCCGGGCAGCAGCAGCAGTAGCCCCAGCAGGAGGCGGCAGCGGCCCCGCAGCCCCATGGCCCGGGCCCAGCCCCACGCTGCCCGCCCACCCTGCACCGCCCGGGCGCTGCCCCCGGCCAGACGGGCTCGGCGCGGCCGCTCTGCGGACACGGCCCGGCCGGACAGCGCGGGGGCGGGGCGCCCGGCGGTTAAAGGGCCCGGCGGAGACACTGCCCAGGGGAGGGACCGCGCCGCCCCGCCTCCGCCCACGGAGCGACCCACGGACGGCGGGCGGAGCAGCGGCCCCGACTGCCCTCCCTGAGTCCGGGGAGCCCTCGGCCCGGGGCAGTGTCCCTCCGGGGGGGCCCTCCCGCCGTACCCCCGGGGCAACTGCCCCCCGGGATCCCCGCCGCACCCCCGGGCAATGCCCCCCGATCCCTCCCGGGAACCCCGCCGCACCCCCGGGGCACCCTCCCCCAGCCACCCCAGGGCGACTGCCCCCCGGGAA